TACGACAGACCGAAAGTATGTGTTGAAAATGTTTTCCCATTGTTAACCTCAACACAACGTTTTACGATTTTACCTTACAGAAATATTCCCATAATCTTTTCCACTCCAACACTCAAAAGCGTAACACGTTTGATTATGTCGCTACCAATAAAAATGAATAAAAAGATAAATGAATATGCAAATAAATAAACAAACAAACAAACAAATAAATAAATAAAAAATAAATGTGTTTTGTTATGTGACACTGACAGAATTGCATTTGTTATAAACAAAAAAAAAAAAAAAAGAATCAGTGCTTCAGGTGATCAGGTGATCAGTCAGGAGTGTTATTCTCATAATTTGTCTTACTGACCACTTGTGGTTAAGTATTGTCTAACAGCAGAACTAGTCTTCTACCGGGCCAGAGCAAAAGTGGAAAAAAAATTAAACGGATATGATTTGTTTTGATTAAGTAGATAATTTGGTACATGTATGGAGCATTAGTTAACACTATCACTGTCAGGTTACTACGATATGAATGTCCATAATATAAAAAAAAGCATTTTAAATTCAAAAGAAGATTAGAAAAAATAGTAACAAAATAGGTAAACAAAAATACACGCGACCAAAAGTTATGGGAGTAAAATACCTTCTGCCCGATATATTCTTTATATTAACTGATCAATGATTACGTTACGGCCGATATTATGTCACGTACGAGGAGCCCGCAGTACCAGTTCCGGACCAAAGCGGTAATATTTTCGTAGTTCGACTGAAGCGATCGAAATCGGATATAAATTTGTGGGCAGTTCGAGGAAACCAACGGAATTGAAGATGGCTTTTGTTGACGAGAGTTGGCAGTCAAAAAGTCGAACTGTCAGGGACAGGACCACGCATATCTTCAACCAGGATCTACTGAGCGATGTGAAATTTCTTGTTCCAGTATCGAATCAGGCAGAAAGCGAAAGCAAAAGAGTGAAGGTGATCCCAGCTCATAAGTTCGTGCTTGCAGTCGGTAAAACTGTCGGTAATAGTCGGTATTAAACTGCCTGATTGTGATTTTGAGAGTCTGTTGGAGTTATTTCGTTATTTATACACCGACAACGTAAATTTGACCGGAAATAATGTTATGCAAGTTCTGTACTTGGCGAAGAAATACATGGTCCCGTCACTCGCGGAGAAATGCACAGAATATCTGCGAGACATCTTAGATGTATCGAACGTATTTTGCATTCTACCGTATGCTAATAAATTTGAGGATACAGACCTGGAAGATCGATGCTGGAAAGTGATTGAGACACAGACAGAAGAGGCCGTGACATCAGACGATTTCGTTACAGTCGATCGATCAGTACTTGAGTCACTTGTCACGAAAGAAGTGTTGACCGTAAAAGAGGTGGAATTGTTTAAAGCAGTTGATCGCTGGTCGAGGAATGAATGCAAAAGGCAAGGGATACTTCCCGATGGCGAAGCAAAGAGACGAATGCTGGGAGAGGAGATTGTGAAAGCTGTAAGGTTTCCGCTGATGTCACAGAGAGAGTTTTGTTCAGTCGTTCCGGACTGCAACATACTCACAATGAAAGAGATCGTGGACATGATGAAACACTACAGTGATGTCTTAACATCACCTCTACCATTCGTACAGGATCCAAGAGTTAAGCGTCACCAGTGGTGCTTTAGGTTTGGAAGGCTGGTTACTTCAGCAATAGAGCCAACCATGTCTCCGGCTGGGTATCACTGGGGTGGCGACATTTGTAGCAATATTTGTGTAACCGCGGACCAGGATATTGATTTGCATGGTGTTCAACACTTTGGCAGTGAGAATGGCAACTATAAGGTTCGCATCCAAATTGAAGATACTACAACTGGTAGTCACGGTTCTATTACAGTAGAACCACGCTGGTACCTGTCACAGAAGGACGAGATTTGTGACTACTATGTCTTCGATGTGTTCCTTCCTTACCCAATTTGCTTAGCAAGTGGTAGAACGTACAAGATAGTGTCGACCATTCACGGTCCCGTAGCATGGTATGGACAAGGCGGGAAGAGAGTCGTAGAGTCCTCTGGAGTTACATTTTTCTTCAGTAAACAAAAGTCCAACCAACTGACCGATGTCAATAAAGGACAGTTTCCTGCCCTTATTTTCACTTTACCGTAAGAATTCCAATTTGACAGGAATTTCAGGAATGGGACAGAAGTTTTCGCAAAGTTCGTTTGTGAACTTTTCCACGACATCTTGCGGTTGTCCTGAGTGCTTCAACAATCCTGCGGCCCTCCCTCAGACCTAAACGTTAGTAACGGTAACAGGCCATTACTTGCCCTTGCCTTTCGTTTGTTTGATTTTCATATCGTGATCATTTCATCGTGTCTCATAGCCTAATTACGGAGCTTAATTAAGCAGTGGCGAAGGTGACGCCAAGGACGATGGCTAGCAAAAATGGGTTTATATTTTACCTTTAAATTTCGCAATTATTTCGTAGAACTATTCATTAGGCCGAGCGGTGTAAAACCCTACTCAAACTAAAGATGTAAAGCCAGCGATCAATCAAGAGTTAGCCGTCGTGACTCATGTTCTTCAAAATACTCAACTGAAACTTGGTCATTTCACGTTGTTATTTTGGAGAAATGTTACGAAATGTACAAAGATTTATAACGCACGTGCACAGCCATCGTTTTGCTCAAAAAATCTTACGTTTGGTGACGTTCTCGTTGTCGTTGCGGCGTCGTAGTTTGCTTAAACTCCCTGTTAGCCAGTCATGTCCGCCCTCCCTTTCTCCATCCATCGGGCTAATATTGCGGAAAACTGAGCACAAAAATTGCAGATACGGGTAAATGTTACCTTCCCCATGAAGCAGCTGCTATTAGTAAATAACGATGCCCCACCATTATCCTACAGAATTCAGTTGAAAATCATTGATAAACTTTAAACCACATCAGCACATTTTTCCATTTTTCGTAAATTTAAACCGAGAGACTTGGTTGAATGGATCAAATCTGTGCTTAAATGAAGTCCTTTTTCGTGACTCGTATTGATTTTTCTAGTTGCTTTGTGAGAAGTGAATAAGTAAAATTCAGTCCTGGCACTCTGCGAGAAAAAACTTGGGCCAAGTGTGTATCCTTTGTCACGTGGTGCAAAATAAACTCCATTTGCTTTGATCTTGCTGTGTCACATTGTCTTACTAGTATTTTGACAAATAAAACTGTAAGTGATACAACTAACACTAGATGTCTGATAACAAACCTGTCATTCGAACGTTCTCTTTTTAAAAAAATCCTGAATTTGAACTGTGTTTTTCACGGCGCAAATTTAGGAGGACTACGAAGACTACAACTTAGACTACAGTTAGACTTGTTTTTGTCGCCAATAATTTTATGGTACACCGACTTTTTAATTCCTAATCTATTGAACGGAACGTGAGGGACACAATAAATATATAAAAGAATAATATGTAAATAGAACAACTGATTCCTTCAATTCTCAATATACAAGGACAGTAACGGTCAGTCAAAGGCGCTGATAATACTTTGATAAAGAATAAAATAAAAAAGAAATGAAATCATCTGCGTTCATACAGCAGTTTTCAATTGAGAGTCGAAAGAAATCTGGCCATTTGGTCTTGTTTTACTACGGCTGGAGATTGGCTGAGTAGTCTAATCGGTAAGTATGTTATTGGCGGTGTGGTTTTGGTTTTATGACACTCAATTGGAACCGGCGCTCTGTAACATACAGTAAACACCCGCACGAAAGAACCTCGTGGTTTAAGAAACTGTTGGCAGCAATTTGCCATTTTAATACCCAAAAATATAAGAACCTGTTTAGCCGAGCAAGATCAAGCAGGTGCTTATATGTTCATCGTCATCACGTTTCTGCGCGCCAGTAGGCGCATAAGGCCGATTTCTATAGCCTGGTTTTCACCAGCGACGCAAGCACAAGCGCAAGCACAAGCGCAAGCACAAGCGCAAGCAATAGGGAGACGCAAGTGAAACGAAATTCGACGCAAACACAAGCACAAGCAAAATCACCCGAACCTTCCAAACTGTTAAGACGCGACGTAATCTGGATCTAGTGTTTTCAGTGACCAAACATAACAGCGTGTGGTAAATATCCTTGTGCTTGTGTTGTCCCTGAGCACTATTTCGTTTTCACTTGTTGCAGCGCAAGCGCAAGCATAAGTGCAGCCACAAGAAAAACGAGAAATTTTGATCCCTGTGCTTGTGCTTGCGCTTGTGCTAATGTCTGCGTCAAGGCCGTTTACACGATGAAATAAGAATTGCTCTTCTTGCGCTTGTGCTTCCGCTTATTCTTGTGCTTGTGCATATGTCGCTAGTGAAAACCAGGCTTATATGTTGGCTACAGTTAAACTATGATAAACATACACTTTAAACTAAGGAGTGTGACTTTGAGATTGCAAATTTATATTAAAAGAAAATACATGATACAGTTGTGAATAAGTACTGTGTATGTTAGGACCTAACTCAAGTTTATTTATTTTTTGGTAATCAACAACTATATCTCCTTCATAGAAATTTTAGAATCTACTTAAGAACCTACTTAGCATAAATTGTCAATAACTACCACAAACAAGAGCCTATTTTGCCAGACTTCTAAAAATGTAGTTTTTTTCCCGCGTGTTTTTACTGGATTTAGTAATTCTACTCTTTTTCTGGGATATCTTTTAAATACATTTCCGTAAGAATGGCAACAAATTCTACACCTGTTTCAGTTTTCTATATTTCAACATGTACCGGAGATGTAATTTTCAGTTTTTGATCTGTATAGAACAGTACAAACGATTCCAGACAATTCTCTTTGAAAATAAGCATTATAACTTAGCTTTGAACAGTTTAGGCTTGAAAACTAATTATTTCTCAACAAAGGCAAATCATGTTTTTCCCAGCTGTACACAGCTTAAGGTGAATAAATCTTGGGTTTTTAAATTATTTCCACAAATGGAGTGTTCCTGTTTGTAGTTTTCAACGAGTGACGTGAGAATTCGCAGCTGTATTTAAACTTTTCATTACACATGTAAATGAGTGATTTTTCTCGACACACAGGGACTGCAAGAGATCCATCAACTTCAGTTGACTCTTTGCTGTTAGCGCAAGGGAAGAGTTCATTTGCGAGGGATATTTAATATCTGAACTAAGTGCTGAAGGTAAGGATGATGGGTCGATGATCAAATGCCATGCACTTATATAGAAGAAACTCGTCTAAACTAAGTTATTATAAGCAGTTTTTCACCACTTGAGCATTATAAAACGATGTTTTGTGTTATTGGCAAGACACAGTAAAACTGTACAAGTTTTTCCAACTAAACTATTGGAGGAGATGGAGCTGGAGAATCGAGAGGGTACAATCATCATTATCAAGTTCACAATGACATTTCTGCAGTTTTTCACGGCCTCACCCATTTTGATAATGTTGAAGATTTTAACCAAGACCCTCGTCAAACTATCACGTATTTTATAATATCTCTTTCATTTTAGCATTCGCGTGACATTTCAGATTGAAGATGGCCAAGTGGATGTATGTTTTTGCCATTGTGGCTCTGCTGATGATTACTTTGGATGAAGCGAAAAAGTCCGAGTTCCAAGACCAGACCATCAGGAACAACGACCACAAAGTATTCGATGAGACCAAAAAAACCGCCGACAACAACTGGTCTGCCCACCAGTCGACCAGGAACAACAAACACAGAGTATTCGATGAAACCAGAAAAGCTGCCGACAGCAACTACGATGCTGTAGTTGACGAAACAATTCATCCTAAGTCAGCAGATGAATGAGTAACAAAAACTGCGCAATAATGTTATTAAGTAGTTCCAAAGCTATTAAACTGCAATAATGTTCATCATCTGATGGTAATAATTACTTGCTTGGGTTGTGCCCATGTATCATAAGGTAGGGCTCGAGAAAAAAACAATTATTTAGAGATTCTCTTATTCCCAGATTCTGACTTCAACTCTGTTTAGGTAGCAGCTGCTCAGGAAAACTGAGATGTCTGCAAGTTAGACTACAATTGGCGTTGTGTTTTTTTGTCGCTAATAATTTTATTATACATAATCGTTTTAACTCCCATTTTAAGCAGCAGAGAAATTATTTAAGCCAGAAGAATTTCGCAAACAATGATAGAAAGGTGTAAGCGAATCTCAAGATTGGTAAATATATAGTCCATTTAAATTGAGAACTTTGTTAATTGGAACGTTTTTGATAACGAAAGTTTTGACATTGAAATCAACGTTTTCTTTACTGATTGCATGAATGTCTGTCTAACTGACGACTGGCATACCTGTTAAACCGGTTTTGTGATATAACAGTGGAATTGTGATAATAAAGACGAATAATTTCGTTATGTGAACCAATTTGAGTTTTAATTTTCCAGCGTTGTCTTTGCTTGATAAAAGGAAACCGAAGCATGAAACTTTCATTAGTATTAGTAAGTTCATAATGACTAACGTTGTCTTATGATCCGAATTGAAACGGAGATTTGCGTTAGTATCGTTCACGAGGGGTTCATCATAGCCCGAACCTGATATTTAAAGAATCATTATAGTTCATTTGATGTTGTTTACGTCATGCTTGCTATTACAGGTCGAATACTTCAGATATATAGGAGAGGTTTCTTTTTGTCAGCCAGAGTGGATCAAAAATGCAGTCTCATGAATGGAACGTGTACGACACCATTTATAATTATATAAAATAATAATATGTCAATATAGCAATTTATTCCTTCTTTTCTCCATACATCGGCAACAAGAGTCAAAGACGCTGATAATATTCTAAATAAAAAATAACAAAAAATATCGGTCCAATGTGACAGAAATAAAGCTCCTAGTAACTTAGGTGCCGGTCAAATAAGTCCACAAATGGAGTGTTTCTGTTAGTAGTTACCGAATAATGATGTGAAAATTCTCAGTTGTGTTTAAACGTTTCATTACGGATGCGAATAAGTGGTTTTTATCTGCACGCAAGAACCGCCGATGTGAGAGGTCCATCCACTCTCAACCTCTAGTTTCAGTTGACTCTTACCACATGGGCAAGAGTTTTAATAAATCCTTACGATTTTTCGGAAGTGAGTATTATAAGGAATATTAAATGTAGAAATATCATCAACTCGGAAAAAAGTCCGAGTTCCATATAGAGTTTAAAACCACTACCTTCTTTGTTATGCCTCAATGTGACCGCACGATGCGGTTTAATTCCAGTCAAAGACCCACATTTCACCATTGCTCGCCAGTGGCTCAGTGGTTAGAGCATCCAGCTAGACCAAGGAGGGTCGTGGGTTCAAATCCCATATGGAACTGGGACTTTTTTTCCCAATTGATGCTATTTCTACATATTATACTGATTTTACGGAAGCATGCTAAAGTATGCCGAGCTAGCATTACAATAACAATAAAATATGTGCTTCAGGAAAATCGTCGGAAAGCAATAGCGCGTTTTATGAATTCATGATATACGGAAATGTACAATAGCATGGTGATTCGAGACAAAAGAAAATAATAATGACTAACAACAAACAACACGAGTGAAAATCAGCGCAACATTTTCCTAAGTCGAGGCTGAAAATTAATTTGAAAGTCATGGATTACTTTGAATATGGACTGATCTCGTTGAGAGCCAAGTTTAAAAAATCATCAAGTGTTTCTTTTTAAATTCCCGTCCAATAATTTGATAATTGTGAGGGCAATATTTTTATAAAAAGCAAAATAACATCCCACCCCGCGAGTTTCTAAAAATCAAACGGAGCGATTTCTCTGAGGCCCGGTTCATACGTCGTATTTCTGAAGTGTCGAATTCAATTCAACGAATTAAATTCGACAGAAATTCGACGTCTGAATCGGCTGCCGCATTTCTGCCGCACGTTCGACTGGGCTTGTCGCATTATCCGGTAGAGATGCGACTGACCGATTCAAACGTCGAATTTCTGCCGTGTCGAATCTAATTCATACATTATGTTAATTTATTATCCAACCGCGGCGAATACCGTCCAAACAACAGTGCAAATATACAGCGATATTTTACAGTAGAAAACCTGTTTGTCGTATTTGTACAGAAGAAAACCTGTTTGCCGTACTGGTCGGCGCGCGCACGCAAAACTGTCACACTCTCCCTCTTTCATTGATAAATTTATTGACTACAGCAGTTGGATAATAAATCTCTTATTGGATGTTTTGCTGTGTAGTATCGCTGTATATTTTTACTCGTTGTTTGTATTTTGACGAGCCCGTAGGGCGAGTCAAAATACGGCGCAACTCGTAAAAATATACAGCGATACTACACACCAAAACATCTAATAAGATGCATGTATTGAGCATGCGTAAATTTGGTCCCGCCAGAGAGAAAGAAGAAACTTGGCCATTCTCGTCCCAATGCAACCTGAAAATATTACAAAACGAACTGCTGCATTGTCAGCCTTCTCCTTCTCTTTCCATTGGCGGACAATTTTTCGCAAAATTTAAGTCCTTCGTCCCTCAGTATCTCCGTCCGCCATATTGAATACTCTACGTTTAAAACATTTTCCACTGACCGACATACCCGACAGTATTAATTTTGAATTAAATTCGACACAAGTGCGACGTATGAATCGACAGTCGCATTTCTGCCGCACTTAACTGAATTGAATTCGACACGGCAGAAATGCGACGTATGAACCGGGCCTTAGTCAAGTCTTGAGGATATAGTTTGCAGTAATGTTTTTAAATAGAAAATAAAAAAATAAATTAAAAAACAGCTTTGTTTTTGTTGTATTTTGACACGTTGAAAATTCACCCGCATTTTCTCGGAAACACTCTCATACATTTTTTGTAAAATTTTGCCATCGTCGAGACAACTATATCAGGTGGTAAATCCTGCAGTCACATTTCCAGAACTATCGCACGATAACAAGTTTTTCGGTATCATGTTAAATGCGGTATGACGTCATAACGTTGCTTTGGTAGCTCAGATTTTGGTGAAACGTTCCTCATTTGAAACTTTCATCTTTCTCCAGCACACAAGTAATGTTCGATTTTCTGTTGAATTGATAATGGTAGTGTTCTAGTCGTTCGAAGTTGAAGCCGTTGAACAGAATCGTTACTCAAAAATCCGATCGAACCACCTAAGTAAAGAGTATAAACGGCGGATGAAACATTTTCCACGTCTCTCCTGTGGATTCTCTTTCAAGAACCGCTCAGATGTCAAGCCTGTTCGAGGTTTTGCATTGGTCGAACAATTTGCTGACAAGAGAAAGAACTGCTCTGGCAACTCAGTTTAAACTATCATAACCTTTTGTAGTTTATCTTTTTCATTTTCTCTCAACTGAGCTCTATTGTTTCGGTTATTGTTTAGTTAAACAAAGAGCTGTATGCATAATTAATGTATGGCGTTATACGGAAATCTTCCCATGATTTGTCTTGCAAAATTAGTAAGATCATTGCTTTCTTCGTATTCAGCTATCGGAAGACAAGCTTTTGTGAATTTATTTCATATCAGCATGATATCAGTATTTATTAAATCCATTTTGAAATCACTGGTTTTCCTTGCATTCTGATTGGCTCTCAGTGGTGCGATTTATTCAAGAATCGTACTATTTTTGGCTCTAAATCGCATCTTTATCTCAGCCAATGAGAAGGGGACAATAAAACAAAACA